ACACACACACACACACACTCTCTCTCTCTCTCTTTCTCTGTCTCTGTCTCCCCCTCTCTCTCTCTCTCTCTCTCTCTCTCTCTCTCTCTCTCTCTCTCTCTCACACACACACACACACTATATGAAAATGAACAATTGCTATTGATAATTTAATGTTTAAGATGCTAGATACATAATCAGTACTGCAATATTTTTTATCCCGCTTAGCATTCTGAGAATACATACTTTGAAGATGGAAAAAATACTTGTTTTACAAGGCGACTGAGATGGTTTGTGAGTATACAAAAACGGAGCATGACTTTCAACTTTAAAAGGACACTCGTGTGATAAGACAGGAAAATACACTTGAGAGATCTAAGTAGCAGATCTGAAGTAGTTACTGAGACCATCCAAGCAAAATGACTAAACGACTAGAGCACCATTATCGTTCTCATATGTTTATTTCGTATTCAGATAAACACCCGTGGCATAAAATGTAATTTTAATACGTGCTTGAAATACGAGATACGGGTGACATCTAGTCTTGACGCCACTGTGACAAATGCAACGTTTGCAATTCTGGTTGGCCAACAACTCCAAATTAATAAAACAATAAATTACATTTGATTGATCCTTGGGGAAAACTTGGGTTACAATGGCAAACATACATACATAAGTGCATGATTATATATTAAATACATATAATATATGTAAATACGTACACACACGCATACATAAATACACACTATTACACCAATACAGAACAATTCCACAAACATGCCATTGCTGGTCTCCACGAGGCAGCGCCCTGGTTTTTTTTCAGCTAGGGTTTTCGTGTCTTGGTCAAAGACACATCCCAGTGACCACCTACTTAAACCCCGTGTCATCGTAACTGAGACACACAGCCACATCAGAGCCTATCCAGAGCTAATCCAACACCTAGTACTACTGTCTATACAGTAATACCGGGTGCCCATTGCAGATGGTATCGGGTCGGGTCGGGTCAGGTCGTGTTGATCGCTCGACTCGTCGCCTGAAAACAAACGCGTCTGTTTTTGAGGCGACGAGTCGCCGGCGTGATCAGATTGTGCCCCGATAGCCACTTTGTGCATTTAATCTGGCTAGCAAATCGACCCGACCTGACCCGACCCGACCCGACCCCCCAATAGGCACCCCGTATAAGCGTTGATAATTTGTGACACGACGCGGTGGAATCAGGGGCTCGTCAATTTTTGGGCCTGAGGAGTTATTGGCATTGACTTAAAGCAAGCATGATTGAATGAGTTGGGGGTCGCTTGGTTTCAGAGTTCAAAGCTGAGAGAAAATGACCATCAAAGTTAGTTTTTTACAAAGCCACAGTGTCCGTGGAAGCTGACAATTTACATATTTTGTGCATCTAGTCATAGTTTTTCAATATAATTCACATTGAAATGGGTTCCTATATGCACATATGTATAGAAGGTGTTGAGCTAAAGAACAAAATTTCGAAAAAAAAAATTGACAAACCAGCGGGAGAGTCAGTTTTTTTGTTTTTTTTTAAATTTTCATTATTTTGACGAGCGCCTGATTTCTCCACGATGCCTCACATTAGATCACTATAAACGAGCTAGTCCAGATTTCGGGGGTTTCCAGATATCTTGACCTACATCAAAAGTGGGCATTGCCCTACCCCTACCTATAGGAGAAGTTTGGTTTCATTGATGTGTATATTTATTTGTTTATAGAGAAAACCCTTCTTATCTTTTAAAGATAGATATCATGGGTCCAAAACTTTACCTTCGATTTTCCCAAAACAACATTTTTCCGGATACCTTCCCCCCTCCTTGTGCTTAAAAGCGGAGGGCTCTCGTGGCCTAGAGGTTAAGGTTTTCGCCTCTAATTCAAAGGTCCCGGTTTCGAATCCGGGTAGCTGCAGAACATTTTTTTTCTCTAAAATTGTCTCCTTTCACTTAATTTCCTGCTCTCTCGCAATGTTCTGTTGTCTGCTTTCGTCTCCACTTTCTGCCGCCACCCCCTCACCTTCTTTACCCCCTCATCTGGGCTCCTGACTCTTTCTGCTGTCTTTCTACTGCTACTCATTGGTTCCTTCTTACTGCTGTCTTTCAGCCACACCCCTGATCTTATGGTAGGAAAGATCTACACCTAGCCTTCTCGGAGATGGGCGAAAAATCTCGGAGGTCCTGTAAGCACGTTGCGCACGTTAAAGACCCCATGGTGGTCTAAAATCGATAATTTTCAAAATTTTCTACCAACTAACAATAGTGAAAATGTTTGATGTGTCCCGCGCGCTCTTATTACTTTAAGCAGTTGCGGGCATCGTAAAACACTTACAAAAAATACTTTTTCAAATACCGTAATAAAAAGCTTGAAAGCGACCTTTTACGCTTTTAATCCCTTTTCCCAAGGGTGATCCCTCCGTCCACCTTGACACACTGGCCTGTGACAAAGCCGGCCCCATCACTAGCCAGGAACACCGCCACCTCTGCCTGCTCCTCTGGCGTGCTGGCCCGTGCGTGTAGCGGGTGTCTGCGTCCTAGGTACTCGTGAAGGCGCTCTCTGTGAGCCTCCCCGTCACCTTGGCGTTCGTGAATCCTGGTGTAGACTAAGGTCGGGTTGATGGCGTTCACACGGATACCTGGGGCGCCAAAGGGGGAGGGGGGGAGGGGGGGAGGGGGGGAGGACAAGTAATAAATCCGTAAGAATTTTTTACATTTTATTTTAAACGTCAAATCTTTCAAATGGCAAGGGGGGAGGGTGAGGGATGTAGCAATGGTGGCGGAAAACACATTCCAAACTATGCATGGATTGTTTAAGCCCGCACTAGATATATGTAGATTAATGGAATCGCTCTTGGTAAACATAATATAAACAAGGGGCCTGAGAATTCGGTTCCATAACAATGATTTCGTTTATGAACAAATTATGGTCACCATAACCACATTTCTCTAAACTCGAACCTCTTCAATTATTACTTTTGGGTTGTTGTTTTTTACAGACACAGTCAACGAAAAAATCGTCAAACATTCCAGCAGTTGAAATTCAATGTTGACGCCCAAAGAATCGACCCAGTAACATAATAATAATAATAATAATAATAATAATAATAATAATAATAATAATAATAATAATAATAATAATAATATATAACATTTATATAGCACATTTCCAAAAAAAGTAGCTCAATGCGCTTTACATTGGAATACCCATTTTTCAAAAACCTTTCTTACTACCTCCTTTCTTCTCAAGCAATATACATTAACGCACACACACACACACACACACACACACACACACACACACACACACACACACAAACACACACACATAGACTATTTTCATCCAGACATAGGAACAGAACAAATATAATGAAAGATAACGTTAAAAGCTTATGAAGGATAGGCCTGTAGGAACAGAAAATGTTTAAGATGTCTTTTGAAGCTATCAAGTGTTCTTATTTGTCTTAGTTTCGTGGGTAATCTGTTCCACATAAATGGACCAAGATGTGAGAAAGATCTCTCTCCATGTGATTTGTATGATTTTACAGGTGTCACAAGTAGGGTGTTATCGTTTGATGATCTTAGGTTTCTCCCTGGTTTATATATACTGATAAGTTCTTGTAGATACAAAGGAGCAGTTTTATTTACACATTTGAAACACATGACGCAGATTTTATATATTATTCGTTCTTTTACAGGGAGCCAATGCAGTTCTTTTAATAATGGAGTGACATGGTCTCGTTTTTTAGATCTTGTAAACATGCCATGGGGTTCAAAATGTCCAGTGGCATATTGAAGCTTGTAGGGTGAGAAATGGTCAACACCTGGAGATTGAAATAGCCATTCCCACCATGGGTTTATTTGACCATATCAATTTTGTATACATTTGTTCTTCCCCGCACAAATAGCGACTATCTGAAATGGAACAATATGGTTGATTTTTAAGAAGTTGCAAAGTCTAGCGTTTCTCTCAATTTTGGTTAACATGATAAAAACTTGATATTTTTCAAATGTATCCTTTGAATTTTTTTCTCTGAATGATAAATATAACGGTTGAATTTTATTTCTGCGAAGTTTTGTTGAAAATGGTTTGAGGACGACCGTGTTATTGCCCTTTAAATTGGATTTTTTAATATATACCTGGTACCATAAAATACATTTCGCCAAAGACGCTGATCGATAAAACGTTTGTTCTATTTCTTTAAAAAGGAAATATTCTTCAAGAGCAGTCTTTTCTCCTACTGTCAGTACAAAAAAAGTATGTCACTCACTAAAAATAGCTGAGACAATGATAAAAACGTCTTCACCCCTGCTTTTGGTTATGCTTGAAAACAAGACAAAACAAACCAAACCTACAAACCAAACCAAACCAAACCAAAACAAAAGCAAACAAACAAAACAAACAAACAAACAAACAAACGATAAAAAAGTATACATTCTCAAATAAAGGAATTAACAAAGTAGTAATTTGTAAACAATCTTTGTTGTATGTCAGTTGAGGGTTTTTACACTGGCTTGCATACGAATGGGCCAAACTAGTCATGATTGAACAAGACCACTCTGAGCGCCTAGGCAGACACAATAATGTGTATCGTTACGCAAGTTCAGCTTACAGATTGTTCCTTTGTATTCAAAGTAGCAGGAACGTTCTTTATTTCTTTGTGCACTTAAATTAAGCTTTGCCACCCGCGCGTCTTCGTCGGGACTCATTGAGTGCAACAAATGCAAAACTTATAGAATCATCAGTTAAAACGAGAATAGGCTTAAGTGTGCTCGATCAAAAAAAAGCATTTATCTATAATGGATTGGGCCATAACTGTAGTTCATATCATAGTATAAATATGTAATAAACTCCTACGCAATCGTTATCATCATCGTTAACAGACAACCTTTTTTTCGGGGGGGGGGGGGGGGGGTACAGCAATGGTGCTGCATAAGCTTTGCAACATGAAAGAGGCATGGGGTTAACAGATAGGCCCAGGGCTCACATGTGGGAGAAGAGACCATGTGTCACAGAAAACGGAGCCTATCCCGAGAAAGGGGGGGGGGGGTGGGGGGGGGGGCGAGAGACAAACGGCTAAAGTCGGCCACAGGAATTGCATACATCGACTGTTCAGTTATTCCAAAAACCCGTACGTCACAACATTTTCTAAAATCGACTTTTTTGCTTTCTCGTGGTGGCAGATATTTTTCCGATTCATTTATTGTGCGCTCTTCACAGTGAAAAATATTAGGTGATGGAGAAAGATCTGTGGCCATGGAAAAGCAACAAAAATAAAGAAAGACCAAAAAACTAAAACAAACACAACAAAACAGCCAATTTCGTTGACATGAATCTTCCTTTGCTTACAACACTGCGTATTTAGGGACAATGCACCATGATCTCTCAGACAATTGATCAATCGATAAAGATAACGTCATGGCACAGAGAAACCTATAAATGATCATACGAATACTTTCGTGGGAATCATTCCTAAGAAAAAAAAAAAAAAAAAAAAAAAAAACCCTCCAAAAACCCCAGACACTTAATTTTCTTCAGGGTGCAAGGGTTTAAACTGAAGTGGATTGCATTTCTTTCATACTCGCGAATAGGTAGGCCTAGCTTCCTGGAAGAACTTGGAAGATTGCCAGGGGCAGGAGCGGGCTAGCCCTTACTCTCAAATACATGTAAAGGCAAATATACACAGTCAGAATCTACTTGCTTCATTTCGTTTCGGTTCGAAAACAGACGACAGAACATAACTAGAGGGCAGGAAATGAAATGAAAGGAGAATGAGAGGCGAACACCGTTACCTCTAGACCAAGAGAGCCCCCCCCCCCCCTTCCCCCTGCCTTTTACCTTTGGGTCCTTGTGAGAGAGCGAGAGCACGCACAAGCTGGTCCATGCCGGCCTTTGCCATCTGGTACAGCTGATTCCACAATGCTGGCATAGTGGACACGATAGACGACACACACACGATGTTGCCTTTGGTTTTCTCCAACAGAGGAAGCGATCCTTGAATTAGAAAGTAGGACGATTTGAGGTTGGTGCTGAAGATGAAATCAAACAATTCTTCCGTGTCGCTGTCAATATTTGTTTTAGGACTCGCGCCAGCGTTTGCTATGAGAACATCCAGCTTCCCAAACTTGGCGATCGTCTCCTCCAGAATTCTGTCCCGTACCGCCTTGTCGTTGAGGTCACCTTGGACAGTTATAAACCTATCTGAGTTACCTCCGCTTGCTTCTTGGCATTTCCCTTGGACTCTTTGGAGCCTCTCCTCATCCCTCCCACACAGAGTGACCATCGCACCCCGCTGTGCAAGCAACAGAGCTATGGACTCTCCTATGCCAGAGCTAGCGCCTGTCACGATAGCAGATTTTCCAGCGAAGTCCTGAGAAGACATGGCTGATGCACGAAATACAAGCGAGAAACGTGAAAAATTTATTTAAGCTCTTTAGTTCTAAATATAGCTATATGAATAACTATAGCTGTTTTGATTAATAATAATTGAACAAGAGTCAAAGCTTTCTTAGACGTATAGCTGACTCCTCTCCACTCCTTTAACATTGGCTGCACTGCTGACTTGTGCGCAACCACGGTCTGTCGACAGCCTTTATGCACGGCAGTAATGGAGAGATAAAAATAGAATGTAGTGGCTTCTCGTTTGTATGGGGGGGGGGGGGGGGGGTTGGTTTTTGTTCTGATGTTTCCCAAGTATGTTATGTTATACTTACAGACAGGTTCGCCCAACAACCGGGAGGGGGGGGGGGCAGACAGACAGAGAGGTAGATAGATAGATAGATAGATATATAGATAGATAGATAGATAGAGAGAGAGAGAGAAAGAGAGAGAGAGAGAGAGAGAGAGAGAGAGAGAGAGAGAGAGAGAGAGAGAGAGAGAGAGGGAGAGAAGGAGGTGGAGGAGGGCAGTCAGAAGATCACTAACAGTAACACAACTGCCACCTCTGTCGGCTGGCACAGCTGATAGCGACATATTTCCTTTTTGGGCCAATCGAAATTTTCAATATCCTTTAAACCTAGATCTAGACGGCCTTTAAACGAATAATAGCTCTAATATGCTTACTGTCGAGTCATCTGCCAGAATAAATAATGGTAATACTAATACGTAGAGCATTACAATGCTAAATGAGTCTTACAAGACATATCATTAGCCTACAATGACTTAAAGATTCGAGCAGCATTTACGCACAAAGACGTATTAAATGTCGCAAATATAATATAATTTTATATAGATCTAAAATAATATAATATAATATTATATATATATATATATATATATATATATATATATATATATATATATATATATATATATATATATATATATATATATATATATATGTATATATATATATATATCTCAAAGTAGATCTATAGGATAGGTACATGAATACAGCGATATAGGCAGTGAGTAATGTGTATAAAAACAATTCATTCAAACAGTTTTAAAAATATAGGTGAAATAAAATACGGTAAACAATCCCTTTAAATATATATATATTACCACAGACCTTTTTATGTTGCTAGATCTCTGATATTACTGTTGCTACATAAAAATACTGTTGCAATACAAAATACCAGTCTGCAGAACGGAACGTTAAAAAAAATATTATCGTGGTAGGCAAGATTAACGGAACACCCGTTTTCGTCCCACATTTTCATTTTACTACCCGTCTTCGTCCTATCTTCTTCTTTTCACTACCCGTTTTTTGTCCCACTTTTGTTCAGCCACAGTTCGCCCGTTTTCGTCACACATTTGCAATAAAATGTAATCGATTGCCATTCGATATCTATCTATCTATCTATCTATCTATCTATCTATCTATCTATCTATCTATCTATCTATCTATCTATCTATCTATCTATCTATCTATTTATCTTTCTATCAGTATTTGTCCATATCTATCTCTTTATTTCTATTTATTTCTGTCTCTCACTGTTATATATCTGTCTATCTATTTCTGTCTTTCTCGATCTCTCGGACGATGAAAAAATGATAGCACTAAACAGACAAGAACTAACAAAAAATGCACGAAGATGGGCTTATTTAGCAAAAAGACCTTTATCTCTGCTGTCGGTTGGAAATTTCAGCTTATCATCCCATTGGACAGTGGCAGACTAACTATGAACAATGTGCAAAGTTTTACCCTGTACTCATAAAAGTTTTTTCGTAGGATTTATTTTCATAAGGATTTTTATCGAAACTATTCCCCCAGAGAGAGACATTTCTTCTGCAAACTTTTAACACATATTTTCATCTAGCACGAAAACCTACACGTTCTTCCATCCCCTTGTTGATGTGATTCTAAACAATGAATTTTCGCCGCGCATCATAGACCTAAAAGCATTTTAGATCCTGAGTGGCAATTGCAGTAACCTCTCTAAGTAATCGAATCAAAGTGGGACGAAAGCTGGTGGGACAACAGCGGGTACGACGAAATGCAAAAAAATGAAAAATGTGGGACGAAAACGGGTTCTCCGGAGAGTGGGGGAAACTGGGACGCAGGTAAACTGGGACAAAGCTCGAATCATTATGAAGAGCACAGGGGGAAAACGACCATAGCCACAAACTAGAAATTGTGAGGGTGCCAATTTTAAAAGCTAGTAGACACATAACTTCATATTTGTTTTACTGGTGGTTTATTGTAAAGTGTTGTTGAATGGAATATCTAACAACAATAATCAACCAACAGTTGAACAGAAATACAGTTATGAGTCAACAACCGTTCAAACTTGATACCGTCACTATTTTCAGTTTGTGACTATGGTCGTTTCCCCGTGTAGTCTTCCTATGTTTATGGACAAAAATTAACCGTACCGTATTGAATGCACTACTTATCACTATACTTTTTGATTGCTGTGAAATCTCTTCTCTCTCCAGAATCGCTCAAACAAAAGCTGCGCTGTCAAAACTGAAGTCTATTTGGAAGGACAGAAACATCACGCTCAACTCGAAGATCAGACTGATGCGCTCACTGGTCATCTCAATACTTTTATACGCCTGTGAGTCGTGGACACTGACAGCAGAATTGGGGAAAAGGATTCAGACAACAGAGATGTTTCCGCAGACTCATTGACATCTCATACAAAGACCACATTTCAAAGGCTGAGGTACGGAACAGAATCACAAACGCAGTGGGCAGCATGAAGATATACTGACCACAGTGAAGAGACGAAAATTAAAATGGTATGGGCATGTCACAAGATCCACAGGACTTGCCAAAACAGTCCTACAAGGAGACGTACACGGAAAGAGAAAGAGAGGAAGGCAGAGAAGGAGATAGGGGGGAGGACAACATCATAGAGTGGACAGGGAAGACGATGGGTGACAATCTGAAGAAAGCAGTGGGCAGAGACAAAAGGCGAGAGCTGGTTGTCAGATGCACGGTTGCCCCAATCACGGGATAGATGAAGAATAAAAAGAAGAAGAAGAACATCTTTTCAACTTTCTATTTCCGTTTTCCCGTTCCAAAGACCACCCTGGTTTTCAAAGTTTTTTCAAGACCAGTTTCTGTGTCACTGCATCGAATGTGTTGAACTTCAGCTGAAGGTGGGTATGTTTTTATATAGTCATAATATATCAAACTTACAAGTCAATCATATGAGACAGGATTAGTTCTATCTCATAAACAAAATGTGGAACCAAACTTGGTGTCTATTCATGTTTGAAGAATTGGGACACAGTGTCTAGTTTTACCCCTTTATCCCTCTCTGGTGTCCAAGTTTTCACGCAGAATAGAAAGTAACTTATCCACTGCACAACTATCACTGTCACATTGGAATGGAACGTGGTGCAATAAAAGTACCCTTTGGTTCTCATGTTGGTATGCAGTCCATAGTATATTAGCCTGTTGCGTAGTTCTTGGCCTACACTATTGCTCACGGCTTGGACCTATCCAGAGATCATAGTGTGCCACCTCCTCTCTCTCTCTCTCTCTCTCTCTCTCTCTCTCTCTCTCTCTCTCTCTCTCTCTCTCCCTTACTCATTATCTTTCTACCTCTCTCTATACCCCCCCTCTCTCTCTCTCACTCTCTTCCCTCTCTCTCCACCGCCTTCCCCCCCAATTCTCCTACCAAAACCTCCACCCCTCCACGTTCGACAACACAACCCCCTCCCCTGTATTTTCTAGCCAGGTGTTATCCGATAGAATAGGTCAAAATGTCCTAGAAATGGGAATAGGCCAGTAAGTGCAGAAATAAGGTCAGAACGTGCAGTGCTTGGTTCGAGGTGACTATCAGCTATAAAACTGCCCTCTAAGAAAGATACATGTACATCGCTTTTAGGATATAAAGTACTTAAAGGTCATTGAAAGGTACATAATACATTATATCTTGTATTTTTTCCTTTTTTTCCCTTCATCCTTTTTCTAAATATTTCACAATGGAATGATTATTTGATAACGCTCTGTGTCTTGCACGAAAAAAAAGAGAGAGTTCGGTTCCGATGTGGGGAAGGTATAATTTTACTTGGTATATTAACCTTGTTTTTTGCTGAGATGTGTCTCACAGAGTCCAAGGTTTTCCAAGCTTTGCAGGGTGAGTTCTAGCAGCTCGCCTCTCAAACTACACCCCCCCCCC